TGTGTATAGAGAATGACAATAAAGCTGTCTAAGTCTACATAAAAATATGTACTTGATAGACTTTCAGCAGCCCACCAGGATGATGTCAGTTTGAGTAGCAAGTACCTTTTCGATCTGTTTGGGAGTGGCCGTGGGCGCGTTGCCCAGCCTCTCTGCGGTTTGCTCTGCCTCATCCGCCTCTTTGCAGCGCTGCTCATATGACTTTTTAGACTGTTAGGGCAGGAAACAGAGATAATTTGAAACCTCTGACAGCTACACTCTGTAGGTAGACAGTTAAGTGTGAAGCCTCAAAAGGAAAAATTGTTGATAGGGGGCTTGGTAGAGAAAAAAGATGTCATGCACACCCACAAGAAGAAATATTTAAGAAAGGACTTGTCACTTCCTTCCTGTCTGCCAAAAAAAAACGTTTCAGCATTTTTATGTTGTAATTGGTTTTTAATTCCTCCTCCGCACCCAACAGGACTTATGAACAATCTAGTACTTAAATATCAAGAAATTCATCATTCTGAACAGATTAAAATCTACAAAAAAGGCAGATTTTCTTGCATATCAAAGCAGAAGCTACACGGACTAAAACTGTTAAAGAATTAGTGTGTCATTCTGGTTCCCCAAAATAATCTTACATCTTCTCTATTATCATAGAAATATTAATTGACCTTACATCTATTGTTTTCTTGTAGAGGGAGATTTTTGATTTCTGGACCTTCTCCATGATGGTCTCAAACTAGTCAGAAAGGAAATTCAACATCGTTAGTGAGAAGGAAAACTATTGAACTTCCCTGTTATATTATTAGCAGAGAAAATGGATTGATACCTTTTTTCTCTGCTCTTTCTGTCGCTCCCTGAACTCCTCCATTCTCTTCACCTCTTCCTTTAGAAGGCCAGACAATTGAATGTGCAAGTTTCCTACATTTTCAATTTCTGAAATGAAGTAAAGCACATTGATGAAAACACAGACTCCTCAATGAAAAGGAATGTTTTGAGAAACCAAAATATTGTATTCTTACGTGTTTTCATTTCCTCAAATGATGCTCTCAAAGTGCTGTTGGGATAAATCAACAAAATATACTTTTATGCAATACCAGAACACCTGATATATTATGCAGAAGTGTTCAGAATGATCTGCATTCATTGTGAAAAGCACTCAGGTGAACCTACCTGATCTCAGCTGAACCCCCTGCCTTCCGAGCTATTGAGACCAGCTCCTTCCCATATTTCTCTTCGGCTGATGCTCTGCATGCATAACTCATCTATCAAAATCCCTGTTTACAAGTTCAGACATGAATTGCCTCAAATGAATCAACTCACCTCATTTTCAGGAGATCCTCCACATCCTTGCAAGTACGCCGACCATCATTAAGTCTCTGAATAATAGCGTCATAACCAGCATTGCTGACAAAGTCGTTGCCCTGGATACCAAAGAAAAATAATCCGGTGTCTCATTTCTACAGCTCCATTTTTAAAATGTGATCTGCCTAAATGGCTTTTGTTCTCACTCATCTATAAGTTTAAGTCCTAACTTATTTCAAGCGAAAGGCAAATGATCTCTTCTAGGATCCTAAATGGAAACAGTGATGCGGGACACATGTGAAATTTTCATATGGACCTTAACGTGATGAGATTTTTACATTATGCAAATCGGAGTTAGGATGCAAGTCTAAGGAAAATGGCAGAGCTCAGCTGATGGCCTCTTCTCAACATTTAGCCCTTTGAGCTTCAATTTGGTGAACAAGAGATTCAGTACATGTCAGGAGCCTAAAAGCACAGAGGACCAGAGGACAGAGCGGTACTGTAAAGAAAACCAGGTTTTGCTTTTTGTGAGATCTTGTTTCGAAGCAAAACAGAACAACACACAGAATCACAATAAATACAATTTCAAAATGAGTTACAGCAAACTTGTGTGCCAGAGAAAATATTTGATCAACTTAAAAAGTCATTAGAACTTTGTCAACAATTTACAGCTTTTGCATTTCCATTTAAAACTTCACAAGAATACTTTTTTTGTTTTTCCCTGTGACACTTCCCTTCAGCTCCCTACAAAATGTAACTAAAATACAAGAGAAATCAATATCATTAGATTGAACTTACCCAAAATGCATCTTTGAATTGTAATGCCATGTCAGCAGCGGTGTAACTCTCAGTTAAAAATCCTGCAGAGGTGAAACAAGCTGTAGCGCGATGCAAGTCAAATGCTTCATGTCACATTCAGGAAACACGCTTTCATGCAGCAACTCTTACTCTCTTGGTCGTGTCATTCAAATAAGGAAGAGCTGAAACAAGTCAGCAGCTGCTGTAGCAGAGCCCACATTTGGAGAGCCTGCAAGGGCAACTTCGCCTCGAATGCTTCAAACGTTTATTCTACAGAGGGCTGTTCATGAACCCTAACACAATGTTTACTTTACTAATTTGTATTTTTTGCTTAATTGAAGAAATGTTTCCTGTTCTGATAGAGTATATACACAATAAGGCTGACACAACTTCAGGAATTTCCTATAAAGTTTGCAATCCAGTACAAACTATTGCAATTTGTTCCAGTGTTGTAATAGTAGGGATGCCAGTACAGGTTCTGCTGAGACTCTCTTCCTTTTACAGACTGAATGTTATAAAATACTTAACAGTTATAGTGCTTTGAGGAAGTATTTGCCCCCCTTGAACTTATCGACCTTTTACCACATTTCAGTCTTTAAATAAAAAGATATAAAATTATATATATATATATATATACGTATATATATATATATATATATATATATATATATATATATATATATATATATATATATTATTTTTTATTTTTTTAGAAGAAATACGTGGGACACAAAATAATGAATTGGAACAAACTTTTTTTGGGATATTTTATCCTTTTTTTTTTACAAATAGAAAATTTGGGATGTGCCATAATAAGTGGGATGCGCAAAACTTTCAGTGAAGCAAACTTTAGAAGTTCAATGAGGATCTCTCAATGATCCAATGTTGACCTAAATGACAGATAATGATAAACAGAATCCACCGGTGTCTAATCAAGTCTGTTTAAAGTCCAGGGAGCACCATGAAGAACAAGGAACACACAACGCAGGTCCAAGATTCTGTTGTGGGGAAGATTAAAGCTGGATTTGGATAAAACATTTTTTTTACCAAAGCTTTAAACATCCCAAGGAGCACTGTGCAAGAGATAATGGAGTATCAGATCAAAGCCCAGCTGTCCTTGTAAACCTTCAGCTCAAACAAGGACAAGACTGATTAGAGATGCAGCCAAGAGGCCCATGATTACTCTGGATGAACTGCAGAGATCTACAGCTGAGATGGGAGGCTCTGTCCGTTGGACAGCAATCAGCCTTTTACAGAAGAAAGACATTTCTTAAAGTTCTCCATAAAAAGTCTTGTTTCAAGTTTGCCACAAGCCACCTGGGAGAAACAGCAGACATGAGGAAGAAGCTGCTCTGGCCAGATGAAACCAAAATTTAACTTTTTGGCAACAATTCAAAATGTTAAATTTGGCGTAAAAGCAACATAGCTCTTCACCATGAACACTCCATCCCCACTGTCAAACATGGTGGTGGCAGCATCATGGTTTTAGCGACAAGGAAGATGGTTAAAATTGAAGGGTAGATGGATGGAGCCAAATACAGGAGCATTCTGAAAGATAACCTGTTGGAGTCTGCAGAAGACCTGAGACTGGGACGTTGGATTTATCGTCCAACAAGACAATGATCCAACAAATAAAGCAACATCTACAATGGATCACAAATTAACATATACAGGTGTTAGAATGATCAAGTCACTGTCCAAACGAGAATCCATGGAAAGAACTGAAAACTGCTGTTGCTGAGCTCTAGCTGTTGTGCAAGGAAGAAGGGACAAATATGTCAAAATGCCAGTCTCTTGATGTGCAAAACTGATAGACATACCCCAAGTGACTTGCAGTTGTAATCGCAGCAAAAGATACCGCTACAAAGTATTAACTCAACAAGGCTGAATAATTTTGCACACCCAATTTTTCAGTTTTTTTATTTAACAAAATTTTAAAATCTGCGTAAAGTAGGGTGACCAAACGTCCGTATTTCCCAGGACATGTTTGTATTTCACGTCCTGTTCTGGGCGTCCTGGGTTTTTTTTAGAAAGTGAGGAAATGTCCTGTTTTTTTAAATTACCTTCATTGGATCATTAAATTTACAGACGCTAGGGCACTGTGCACGACGCTGCGTGTGACATCACCCCTGAGCCGTGCCAGTGCGGGTGCCCCGTTCTTAATCAGAATATAGATAGCGGGGCTGTCAGTACGCCAACAACATGCAAAGGCCCAAATGTATGTTTACCAACGATTTACAAAAGAGTTTCCCCGCTGTCAGACCGGATCGAGACAAATGGGAGGCCTTGTGCACAGTGTGCAAAGCAGGCACATACTGTATGTCTCGGTGTCCAATGGAGGTGCAAGGGATCTGAAAAGCCACCTGGACTCCGCAAGTCAAGATATTCTATTGATATGTTTGTTCGTTTTTGGTACATTTTGAGTTATTTTTGCTACAAAAGAGGTATTTTTTGTTAATTAGCTCATTTGTTTATTTTTTCCAATAACCTACAGAACAGACATTATTTCGTTCATTGCTGAGGCTGAGTATCATCATATTGGGAGTTGAGAGTTATTGTTAACTTTTATTGTTAAGTGAGGGATGTTTAGATGAGACATTATTTCTTTCATTGTGCTATTCATTCATTACAGGAATTGTTAAGCATTTTTAATAAATACATTTTGAATAAAATTATCATTTGTTATTGGAGTTATTGCTGTTGACTTTTACTGAAAATCATTTTTAATAAACCAACTGCTAATATAATGTTATTGTAAGATTACCTAGGCCTATGCATGGGAACAGAGATCCCCCGCCGACCGCCCCCAACCCCAGGTTTTTGAAGATGAAAATATGGTCACCCTAAATTAGCAAGCTTCTTTAAATCTTCTCACGCACGCGCATGCGCAGGCTCCTCGGTTGCCGTGGAAACGGAGCGCCTCTGAAGTCGCGCTGCCGATCTTTAACAGTTACTTTCCAGCCTGGACCTTGAAGCTGAACTTGCTGCAGTCTGTGGTTTGCTAAACTGCTAACGATGAGCTACGCACCAGAGGAGCACAACTACTCGAGAGATCATCTGGAAGGTTTGTTTGTACCCTTTTACTTTGTTAATTACAAAAATGTTACGTGAAAAAGTATTAATTTGATGTTTTTTTCATGACGTTGTGGCAGCTAGCTTAGCATGTAGCATCTCCGACATCTCAGGATTAAATGTTTTTAGTCGATTAAATGTTAACAGTGATTTAATGATTTGAAAATAACTTTTATTTCTGTTTGAGAGAAACACCTTTGTTGAATTAGAAGTAAATGTTTGAAAACTAGGTGGTGCTAGCTCTATGATTTTAAAAAATGCATTTTGCTCTATGTGGAAATGTTGGGGAAATTACATTCAATAAATATTCAAATATATTTGAAGGACATTTAACACAATATGTTATCAAGCCGAACTGTTTATTTTTCTATTTAATAAAAAAGTGAACATTTTGAGTATTTTGTAAGTTGGCTGAATTTAAACCTGATAACAGCTGGAAAAAAGAAGAAATTAAGATTCTCAAGTTGTTTAGTTTAGTAAATGTGTTTAGGAAATGATAGGTTTTTATTTAGTGTTTTAATAAAAAGTATTTAAGGGTTATTATCTTTTAAATCGAGTTTTTATTGGTTGGAAATGGGAGAAATGATAACAGAGATAAAATGAGATAAAAAGTACATTTTGGTTTGAGGGGATAATATTTAACGAAGTTAATGTGGAAATGGTTGAAAAAATACAAAATTAATTGTTTTAGGATAAAATAGGTTTTGTTAAATACATTAAAACTTTAAAGAGGAGGATTTTTAAAAAATGCTGTGAAAAACATGGTCTCCATGGATACCTTAGTAGAATGCATTGAACAACTTTAGGCTTTTTTTAAGGTGGCATATATAAGGTGGCATTTTGACTTTAATGGAAGATCAAATGTGTTAATAATGTTTGACTGATTTTAAAAGTTTGTGGTTCCAAAGGATAATTTTTGGTGAGTTTGGTTTCCAATCCTTTAAAAACAAGGTGGCATCTGGCCCCTTCTGTCAGAGAAGGCCTTGAAGAACAAGTATGGTCTCCATGGATACAACAATAAACAACTATAAGGTTTAAAATGATTGTGAAATAAAAATGAAATCCTTTACATTTTTGGGCTGTAACATGTTTAGAGCTTGACTGTGTTTATTCTAAGTGCTGCCATTGTTAACCGTGTGAGGAAAGCATAGAGAATAAATGTTTAATTAAGAGTTTAGAAAGGAGGATGATATGTTTCTTTTACAGGGAGAAGGTAGAATTAAAACAACAATTTAGAACCATATATTATTTAAACGTTTATCTGGGTTTAGTCTTTGTTTTTCTGCAGCCTTTGTTTGAATCTTCAGGTGAATAATTTCATCCCATCTGTCACCAGTAATAATACAATTTATTCATTGAGGACTTATTTTTCTAGGTGTTCGAAACATTCAACACTGATGGTTTCACCTAACCCCATTAAAAGTTCTGAATAGGACCCTTTCTTACAGTTTTTAGAAAAAAAACAAAATTATTCTACATAGTTTGCTAATGTCCATTTCTGCTCTGGGCTTTCTATGTGCTGATTAAGGTCTTTATTACTACTCTAGGATGCACTGAGGAAGGGGTCTGATAAGCTGAGGCTTTTAAGCCTTTATTTCTGTTAAGGGAAACACTTTTTTTTTCTGACAAATAAATATCTAATAGATCAAACCTTTTCTAATTCCGTAGTATGGGTTTAATAAAGGTTTACTCACAGCTTAAAGGTACACTATGCAACTGGTGTTGATTTTCCAGCGAGGCTCCCCCCAGAGGGCGAAAGTAAGAGTGCACTGTCGTAAATATGCACAGCTGTTCTCCTGGTTTCTCCGTCAAGCCAGGCGCGGTTGTTTTGAGCTTAGCAGACAGGCGAACGCAACGAATGACTAACGCTGCGTTCACACTAGGGCTGCAACTAACGATTATTTTAAAAATCGATGAATCGGACGATTATTTTTTCGATTAATCGATGAATCGGACAAAAAATATTTTTTATATTAACCTCTTTATTCCAAAATAAACATTTTAGACAGAACAAACAAGCACACAAGTACATGTTGCTCATTAACTGTACTGGTGCAATATGAAAAATAAATGTTTGTGTTAAAACTACGCAAACTTACATGAGAAATGTAGCTGTACATCCACAAAATATAGGGTACTTTGTTTCATAAAGCGCAAAAAAAGACATTTTTGTTTTTAAAAGCCCCTAAGGGGTTCAAACAATAGGCCCCCCCATTTCAACAAATGAGTTTTTTTAGACTAGAAGAGTTCTGCCTTTTAAGACAGGAAAGTATAGCAGTTAAAGTTGCTACTTGAGAAAATATTGAACCATAGAGATACAAATAGCCCTGTGATTCAAATTATAAATTGTATTTGGAATAAAAATGAGAGAACTAGGAGTGTGTTAAAAAACACATCCTCCAAAGACTCCAATTTACATGGGAATGTGGCATATAATTAATTGACATATTACTGATCTTGCTGGATTTTATTCTGCTTTACTTCCATAAATTGCAGGATCTTCTTTACTTTATCTTTGCCAGAAGATTTAAACTTTAAAAGTCTTGCCCTCATAATTTGCAAGTTAATTTATTTATAAAGTAAATGTAAACGCTGCTTAAGCTAATTCAAATGAAATTAAAAGTAAAATAAGTAACCAACCTTATCACTGTCTGTAACCTACTAACAAGGTAAGGAAAGCATCAGATGAGCTACCTGAGAAACTAACGTAACGTTTCCCCACTTTAAAACCAAACAAACATGGTGGTTCCGTGCCATGTTAATTTCTTTTGAAAAAAGTTGCATGTTATCACTTTTTTCGCTTTACAAAGCGCAGGCTATTTTAATTATTGTGATCAATTTGCGCCGTCAATCCCGGTGCATGCGCGCTTCATTTGCAGTCTGGACACTGAGGCTCTGACTGCAGCGCTGAGAGGGACTCCTGCGGGAAAACGCGGTTGGGGGGTTGGGCGCCCCACGGTAGAGTAGGAACGATACATGCTTTCACGTAAGAGTCTCTAAAAGCCGCCAGTGACACCGAAAAAAGTCGCCAGATTTGTCGCTAGTGGCATTTTTGAAAAATAGTCGCTGGAGGGGTCTGAAAAGTCGCTGAGTTGGCAACACTGCACCTGCGGCGCTGACTCGCTCTGCCATATTTTTTTTTCTTCCTCTTTCAGTCAAGAGGCAGTGATGACGGCGCGGCGGATGACGCAATAATCGCGCGACACAACTAATCGATGATGAAATTCGTTGCCAACGCTTTTAAAAGTCGATTTTTATCGATTTTTTCGAGTCGTTGTTGCAGCCCTAGTTCACACCTGACGCAGCTGGTGCGACAGAAGCAGTGAGTTTACATGCAAAGTCAATGGTTGACGCGCGTCAAGGCGCAGCACAAGGGCCCGCGGCGCGTTTTGAGCAGCAGCGCGTCTGAGCAGCTGAAGCAGCGCGTCGGGCGCGTTTAATCATCTGACGCAGGGAGAGAGACACAGCGCTGATGATCACTCCTCTTAAACAGTTTATTGACGCCTAAATTAACTTAAAATGCAGAAATCTGCCGGCAGAATATGTTGGCTTTTATTATCCTGCTGCCTGCAGTTTGGATTATTTAGATGAAAAACACCTACCAGCTGCCGCGTTGAACCGCGAGGAGGTGACCCGGCCAGAGGCTGCTGATGAATGGATTCCTACTGTCGGCGCACCGCTGGTATGTGGGGGTCTGAGCGGCTCCGACAGAAAAAATATTGAAGGCAGGATGATAATCTGAATGAACTGACTGCACTGATTACGTTTTCAGGTGTATTTTCTCACTTAAACACATATTAAAACTACTTTATTACCATTGACCACAGCAAATATAGCTGCAAGGCAGAGAAAGGATAGTGAAGCTCCGCCCAACGCGCGTCAGACACACTTTTGCACCGCGCAGCCATAGCAGCAAAGCTGCTTCAGCCGCGCGTCAGAACTAACTGGTACAAGCAGCAAAAATGAAGCAGCAGACGCGATTTTGCTGCGTCCGATGTGAACGTAGCATAATGCTGCGTTCACACCGGCTTGTACCAGTTACTTCTGACGCACGGCTGAAGCAGCTTTGCTGCTCTGCCTCCGCGGTCCAAAAGTGGCTCTGACGCGCGTTGGGCGGAGCTTCACTATCCTTTCTCTGCCTTGCAGCTATATTTGCTGTGATCAGTGGGAATAAAGTAGTTTTAATATGTTTTTAAGTGAGAAAATCCTGCCTCCCAATATTATTTATGTCGGAGCCGCTCAGACCCCCACATACCGGCGGTGCGCCGACAGAAGGAATCCATTCATCAGCAGCCTCTGGTGGGTCGCCTCCTCGCGGTTTACCGCGGCGGCTGGTAGGTGTTTTTCATCTAAATAATCCGATCTGCAGGCACCACAATAATAAAAGCGAACATATTATGCCGGCAGATGTAAATATTTTAAGTTAATTATGCCTTAATAAACTGTTTAAGGGGAGTAATCAGAGCGGTCTGTGTCATCAGCGCTGTGTCTCTCTCCCAGCCAGCTCCCAGATCAGCTTCTCTGATTGGTTGACGCGGCGCGTCGAGCAGCAAAAATTCAATTTTTCCATCTCGAGCAGCAACACGTTTGCGGCGCGTCACGCGCGTCAGATGCCAAAACGCGCCCGACGCGCTGCTTCAGCTGCTCAGACGCGCTGCGCTTGCTGCTCGAAACGCGCCGCGGGACCTTTTGCTGCGCCTTGACGCGCGTCAACCATTGACTTTGCATGTAAACTCGCTGCTTCTGTCGCGCCAGTGCCCCCGGTGTGAACGCAGCATAACTGCACAAAGATCGCCACTGTGCTAGCAACGAGCATGCTTTTAACTGGGGGCGTGTAGCAGTTCTCGCCGTAAAGCAAAACTGACTCTCGCGAGACTTCTGAGCCTGTGGGTGCGGGTCGGTGCTCCTGCAATTGCAAGTGCGGTATTTCCCCACAGACCACCAGGGCGGCCGAGAATACCTTTGTTTAACCTGAAATGACTCATTTAATCATCCAAAACGTTATGTAACACATTAATTAACTGAAAAATGTTGCATAGTGTGCCTTTAAAATGTCCTTTAATCTGAACAAATCCAAATGAATAGTCTGGGTCAGTTGCTCCCAAATGTGGAAGCGTGCCCCCTAGGGGGAGTTTACTGTAATAGCAGAGAGCGTAATAGAAATAAAGTAAGTAAATGGACCATTTGGAGCGTATTTTTATATTGATAACATCCTGAAAAAAAAATCAAAACCCCAATAACTAGTAAAATAAAGATTTGAATTTAAAATACATTTTCAATTTTGTGGTAGTCTCGTGATTTAAAGGATATTGTAGCCTTTTTTCTAAACCTAGCTGTCAGCAAAACGCACATGAGGACCAGCAAAATGTCCTCCCTTTACGACAATCGCTCCTCAGTGTGACTGTGAAATAACAAAAAAGGTCCCCACAATGATGCCGAGGACCATATACACACATATATACATAAAAATATGTATGTATGCACAGATTGATGTTTTTATTGATTAAATCTCCTTAAACCTGCTAACTCTCACAGGCACATTCAGCAACCTAAAATAAAGCATTGAGTATTGTGATTTGATGTTCCTTAATTAATGTTCCTGGTCTAATGATTTTTTTCCTCACTGCTCCAGACGCCCCGCTTCCACCTGATCCTGCCCTGGAGTTCTGGATCTTGATCGCGGATCAGGTTGATTTCCCTTTCTATATGAACGTAGGGCTGTTCTCAGATGATGTAGAGGAGGATTTTACTGTTGATGTGGAGTCTGATGATGAGTTTAGGGTCGTAGATGTGGTGATTAATGACGAGGAAGAGATAGAGGGTTCTGATGATGAGGAGGATGATAATGAGGCAGAGGTCCCAGAAGGGGTGGTAATTGAGGAGCAGGAGCTAGAGGATTATGATGATGAGGAGGATGATAATGAGGCAGAGGTCTTAGAAGGGGTGGTAAATGAGGAGCAGGAGCTAGAGGATTATGATGATGAGGAGGATGATAATGAGGCAGAGGTCCCAGAAGGGGTGGTAAATGAGGAGCAGGAGCTAGAGGATTATGATGATGAGGAGGATGATAATGGGGCAGAGGTCCCAGAAAGGTTGGTAAATGAGGAGCAAGAGCTAGAGGATTATGATGATGAGGAGGAGGATGATAATGAGACAGAGGTCCCAGAAGGGATGGTAAATGAGGAGCAGGAGCTAGAGGATTATGATGATGAGCAGGATGATAATGAGGCAGAGGTCCCAGAAGGGATGGTAAATGAGGAGCAGGAGCTAGAGGATTATGATGATGAGCAGGATGATAATGAGGCAGAGGTCCCAGAAGGGGTGGTTAATGAAGAACAGGAGATAGAGGATTCTGATGAGGATGAGGATGGGTCTTTTTCTAGTGATTCTCTTGAGGCGTCTAGTGTCTTCTCTGGGTATGATACCATGAGCTCTGAGGAAGAAGACAGTGAAGAAGATGACCCCCTTCAAACACATCTTCGCTTCATTGAGACGGTTTCCCGTTTCATCAGACTCCAACGGTACCAGGCGCCGCCAGAGGACTCCTCGGAGAGTGAAGAGGACCACCGACCTCCACGGCCCGGCCCTTCTTCCCGGAGGAGGAGAAGAGAGGAAGATGACGAAGAGGAGCCCCCTATGAAGCGTTTTCGTCGGGACCTGTGAGAAGAGGAATTTGATCAAGAATCTTCCTTTAACTCCTTCAACAACTTCTCACAATGAAGAGAAGCTGAGGCTTCAGCAGAAGAACCAAACATTTTACCATCTTGCTTTGGATCATTTTGTAGGAGGAGTTAGATGTATTTTCTTGATTTGATGATGATTGGAGGTGGAAACAGTCATATCTAGGTATAATTTATTGATTGTGTTTATATCTGGCAGGTCTAGGGATGCCTTTGGTAGCGTCTTGCGCCGTGGCTTTTCTTTACCCCGCTGCTAGATTTTGTTTTTTAGATGATAAGGAGTCTGGCAGGTCCAGGGATGCCTCAGGTAGCGTCTAGCGCCGTGGCTTTTCTTTACCCCGCTGCTAGGTTTTAATTTAAGTTTTAAATGTTACGAATTTTCCTTTAGCACAGAAATCTGAGCAGAGACATACTAACAATTTCTAAAAGGTATGAAACATGAGAGCTGGTTAAGGCGGAAACAATCTAACATGCTCTACGTCTAGACAGAGCTGGACATTCTCCTAGCTAACAGAAGCCACACCAAACAATCCAAGGATTGATTTAAAAACGACGTTTGACAAGAAGAAACACAGAATGGAGGCAAATGAACAAAAACTAAATAAAAACTCAAAAAATTAAATCCTGGAGGCAAACCAAACCGAGGCAACAGCCGGACATCGCTGCTGGGAATGCATCGAAACCTTTGATTAGTGAGACATCGCTGCTGAGGACTAATACCCGGAGGTCAAACTATGATCCTAAAGGTCTAAAAGTGGAGATGAGGAAAACTTCAAGTCTAGAGGCAGAGGGACAAGGCTGTAGTGGAGCAGAGGTCTCTAACTCCAGTCCTCTGCAGCAGCTTTTCTGCAGCTTTCAGCCGCATCTCTCCTCCAAAACACCAGGATCAAACAGCTCTACAGAGCTGAATGACTGATGAGGGAATTCAGACCTTTGATTCAGGTCTGATGGAGAAGAGATGTGACTGAAAGCTGCGGCATAGCAGCTCTGGAGGAGTGGAGCTGGAAAGCCCTGATCTATAGAAGGACAATGCTGCTGGAGACAAACTAGATCTAGAATAGAACAGTGGCAAAGATGCGGTGGTCACCAGTTGCACTGGTCTCTGGGATGATGGTGAGAAGATAAAGACGATGCTTGGAGGGACTAATTGATTTCAGAGCAGTTTGAAGCAGAGGAAAGGACTGATTTAGGGATGTGGATTGTGAATGGCGCCGACTGTTAGAACCCGCTTTCAGCTGTGAGTTGATCTAGTTCTAGATGTTCCTCAGTTAGTTTTCAGCCCTAGTTTAAGGGAAAGAACCCTGTGCAGAAATATTCTCCATGTGATCTGTGCCAGTTCTGACCGCAGTGGATCTCTTCTTTGTTTGTGAATCCCATGTCGGACCGAGCCGCTACAAGCTTTGGGCCGTCAGAAGACGCTGATGAGATCTACGGCGACCAAACCGGAGGAGCAGTAAACAGTGAGAGCATGTTCAGTAAGGAGACACAATAATCCATCATTTAAATATTAAGTCAACATTTCAGGTGGCCTCACTTAGTTTTTCATGTATTTTCAGGAACTGTGGACGTCCAAAATCAGAACTGCTGTGAGGAACCGGGACATCCAGGATGCTGAGGAGCCTCCTAGTCCCCACCTGAGGACGGCACAGAGGAGAACACGTGCAGTAAGCCTTTATTAACACGACAAACAGACAACTCAAGCTTCCAGGCAGAACACAGAGAGACCAAGATGACTATTTGAACAACATCCTGCCCCAGATTTAAACTTGGTGTCAGGAAATTCTGTAGATTAATTTAGCTTCTTTTTTACAGGAGAAGCAGGTTGAATATGGAAGCAGCGTTCTAACAGTCGGATCTCAGTGGAACAGAGTCCATCCACACGTATTTGGAGGTATGTTGGTTGTTTGACTATAGAGGCATCACATGCAGACAGTTTATGACTCTGAGGACACTTTGCTTTCATTGATGAAGGAGCTGAAGCAGAGGATGGAGAACACAGACCACCAAGGAGGAGAAACATGGCTGCCCTGCTCGTCTCTCCAACATTCTGGAGTCCTGGAATGAAAAACGTTGACGACCCCACAGCTAAACCATCAGTCTGCTCCACCCAGAAAGAAGGTAAAGAACCTTTATTGCTTCCAGATGTTCATCAGTAGTGGAGAAGACAATAAAAACAGATCCAGAACAAATAGATTCAAAAGCCAAAACCATCCCATCAAGGTGGTCTAACCTTTAATTCTTCTTTCCATCATGAAGGGATGTTCACCTCAATTTATCTCTATAACCAAAACTTTACCAGAACCAGAAGTTCTGACTTTTCCATTAGACCACAGATAAACAGTTAAGAAGCAGCTTCTGATCCAATATGGGAGAATTTCCCCCTGGTTGATGTCTGAAGGGTTTTTAGAACTTATTAAAGCAGAGAAACGACGCTGATGAAACCGACTGTAGACTCCAACAAATGCAGCATTTTCAGGCATTTTCTCCAAGCATCCATTGTCTACAGTTATCACTGCTGTTAACTTTAGCTTCTCCCTGTGTGTTTCCCTCTTCTCTCCGTTAAATTGACACCTCTCTCAGTGTTTCTGTGTTTAAATGTCACTGACTAGCGTGTTCTCTCACTAACTCCTGTTCTTCTCTTCCAGCAGATTTCTTCCGTCGTCTCCTCGTTGGACCGGCACCTCTTGGACGTCTGCTGTCCTGTTAAAGACCCGCTCTGCCGCAGTAGATGGGCGCTGACATGGAGCCGGGTTCTGCTGGAGGATCCTTCCTGCTTAAAGCTAGTTTTCCTCTCTACTGTCACCACTTCATTGCTCAGGAGGAGGAAATGCGGTTGGCTGAGCTTCTTTGGATTGAAGACATTTCTCTGAACGCCAAAATAGACTTAATTTATCTTTACCATATTGTAAAAAGGATGTAATTGGATTTTTATGATTGATTTCATTCTGTGTTTGTGTTGAATTGTGTTACATGTTTCTGTTTTAAAGCTCTCGTGTAAATTGCCTTTAGATTACTTGTTTTTATTTCACTAGACTAAATTATATTAAATCCTGCCTACTGGTTCTGTTTCTACTAAGTGATCCTTCCTTTTATTTTATATTCACCTGTTATTTTTTACTATAATAAAGCTTTGATTTAAGTCATTTGAACAGGATCTGTTGGTCTTTTTTAGTAAATGTTGTTGAAATAAGTGGTTGTAAATGGGTTCTTTATAAATAAACCAAACTGAAGTCAACAGGAGCTCTAATATTACTATATGTGAGGTAGTATGGTCAAGGATCAGCAAGGTGAACAAAACAAACAGCATCAGCCTCCGGTTCCAGATTCCTCTGAGGATTTTTATTCGGCACTTTTCCCTCTGACAACCATCTCCCTGAACTTCCAAGATCTCAGTGCCTGTATAACCAGTTGGCAACACACCTGCACTGGAGTGGACCGAGCCACAATTAAACAGGTAGAAAACAAACAAAGTCTAAACAGAGAAACAAGAATAAAATGATTAAGCTAATTTACAAACTCATCTACATAATGAAACAGTCTACAAAATAAACAATGTGATTGAAGATAACTCAAAAATTTACTTTAAAGAAAAACAAAGTATTACCCCAAAGAAAACCCCTCTAAATGGAAGAACCCAGCAAGGCACTGAAGTGTAATTTATGCATTTTATACTGTAAAAAAAAATCAATATACCAACAAAGTAGTTTCACAAATATAGTTGAAATTGTAACATGGTATTCTGTTGGAATGGTGGCTCTTCTACTCCTCTGTAGAAACAGAAATAGGTCTCTGGTGTCTTTTTAGACTGCTGAATGTTTTAAAAAAAAAAAAGCTAAATGTTGGAACCGTAAATCATTACCAGTCTTACCGTGTGTTCTTAAAGTCTTTTAACCTTTTTACATTATCTGTTTCATCACTTCTTTATAATTTAAGTAAACTTAGAACAACTTCTCAGTGACATCAGTTTATTTTTAGAGAAGCAAATATTTACAATAAACTATTAAAAACATTTTTAACTATTTACATTAGATTTTAAAATTAACTACTGCAACTATTTACAGAAGATATAAAATAAATATAAAAGAAGATTATCTACATGTCCTTTGTGCTTTGGTGGATGCATTTGGAGATAATATGGAAGGACTGGTTCATTACTTCTCAAGGTCCATGACTAGGGTCCATCTCGGTGTGCGTCTGTGCCACTCACCTTGAGGGACTGCTGCTCATTTTTTCTTCATTTTGTTTTGTTCTTCTCAGCTGCTCAACTATATTTGGTCTGTGGTCATTTTTGCTCACCTTGTTACTTAGTAAGGCCTTTGTTTTCACAAAAAATCGAATGGATTCATGTAAAGAAATAATGGTGCAATCATACAAAATAAGAAATCGAAAATAAACCTTCTGCTCAAATAAATTTCTATTTTTCAATAGAGGAAATAAGTAAAGAAATTGAGTATTGAATGTCAAATCAAAGTTTTTTGGCTTGTGCGTGTACCTTTGCATCATTAAGCCATTGTATATTGTATCCGGGCTCATTAAAGAAAAAAAAACAAGTAAACATCTATTAGCCTTCAAGAAGGACATTTCTGTTTAGTTATCTTTATCATACAAAAAGAAACACTAGAAGATGCATTTTTTATAGGCTTTGATCCAAAATTACATCCACGCT